TTAACCAGCCTAGCATTAGCCGTCCTAGTGTTAACCAGCCTAGCATTAGCCGTCCTAGTGTTAACCAGCCTAGCATTAGCCGTCCTAGTGTTAACCAGCCTAGCATTAGCCATTCTAGCACATCAATCTTTCTTGTTTCCCTCGTTTCCTGTCTTCGCTGCCCTCTGAGCCACCAGGCCCATGTTTGCCCATCCAACACACAGACTCAGAGGTTAACTTGGGGTGGCGTGGCGTAGGGTTTAGGTTCTATGCTAACCCAGCACCAGGCTTCTGCTACTCTGCTGTTCTTCTGACCACGGTCTCTCCTTCTTCAATCCTCAAGTCAGCCATCAAAATAAATCTCTCTCGTCGTTCCGCACGAGGCCAGCCGTGGGGCACCTCTCTCCCGTCGACTCGCTGGTTCGCCCGCACGTGGCTCTGACAGGCCTACAGGCCTCAAACGCATGACCTGCAAACGTTTAGCTAAACTTCGAGTGGCTTGATGATATATATTTGCATTTCTGGAGGCTCGAGAAAGGACTCACTTTAATGGGAACAGTCATCAGCGGCATATCGCAAAGCTACGTTACGGAGCAGTACAAGCTGGAGCCTTAAACACAAAAAGTCGCTAAAAGTATGAAGCTTCTCATCAGTCACAGATTTAATTAAACGATATAATGCATTTACTGTACTGGACGACAACATTGTGAGTCAGGAACGGTACTTCGCATAAATAACCGTCACGTTTGGTATAGGCTAGTTAATGGTTTCCAATCCATTATCCATTCATCTTCTAACCACTTCTCCCAGTCAGGGTCGCAAGGTCAGTCAATAAATCAATGCATATATTATTCATTTATGGAGAGAGTTTACAGAATTAAAGATCAAAGTCAAATCAAACGTTTTCTATTTTTGGGGCATTTGCTGATAGGACTGCAAGTCGGTGGAGAACTCGCTGACCAATGTGGTGTGAGATATTATGATAAAAATGTGTTTGCTGTGTAATCGACCCCAAATCTGTGTCCAAGTAAAAACCACAGGCATTGCTGGTTTTTACTACATTAATATTTAGTCGCTTGCCTTTTAAACACACAGTTCTGCAGTAGCCTACATGTTACCCACACACTGCCCTTTCTCTGGGTCACGTAGACCTGTCTGCACGATCTTTCCCAGATACTGCAAGTAACAAACTGGAGTCGACGTTTACAGCCTGATTCACCATTAGATGTGTACGAACTGGGATGGGAGTGGTGCCCGCCTTTATGGCTAGCTGGCATCGCCGTGTCTCGGACGGCTAATCGTGTTTACAGAAATGCGTGATGAGGTTTTGTAGGTGCCCCCCCCCCCCGCCGACTGCTTCTACCGGAGCACCCTCCTCTTCTGGATCTCACTGCGACACCCCACCTAGGCCAGAGGAGGCTCCAGCATGGAAACCAGTATGGAAACATTACTGGATTGGGAAAAGGAAGTTGAGCAGACAGCCATGATGAGACATTCACATATAGAGTAATGTCAGCACCTGTGTTCTGGGGTCCCGGGAGGAGAGGGGGATTACAGTCGCAGGACCGGAGGGTGTGTGTGGGGGGGTGTTGGGTCTGAGTTTCACTGTTTGAGTCGGTCATGGTCAGGCCATATGACACCTTGGCATTGAGGCCAGGGGTTGACAAATGTGTGAAGCAGAAGAGGTGACATTTAACTGGGGGGGCCGAAGGGGCGCAAACATAGGGCGACACAACAGCTCAACGACAATTTTCCACTGAACAGACACTCGAAGAGTGAGATAACATTCAGTCTGGCTCTAAAATGGAGATGCATGGCAATAATTTAAAAACAGGCACGAATTAGGGCTCCTCCACGCTGCTCAGTAAATAAATCTTTTCTTGTGTTGAATCAGCACATCCACGTATTTAATCACTACTTGGTAATACCTTAAATATTTATATGGCGATGACTCATGCCCTGCGCTGAAAATATCTCTGCGGGGCAGGAAGGCGTGGGAAGCTGCAGGGGAGCGGCATGCATCGCTGCACGGTGGCCGCGCCGCATTTCCTTCTTTCAAGAAACAGAACGCAGCGGCAGAGAGAAAACAGGCGTCTGAGGAAACA